GGGGGGGCCAGCTCAGCCCACCAGGGGGCGGGGCTGGCTGGCATGTGGTGCTGGGGGATCGAACCGTGGTCCCGGTGCTCTGCTAAGCTTGCTCTAAGTAGGTGCTTTAGACCACTGAGCCATCTCACCAGCCCCTCTTAGGCACACTTTACATCATCGATTACTTTCCTCTTTGGCCTCATAATCTCCTTGGTCAGAGATTTTGGGACACAACTGAATTACATGTTACAATACAGGTTCTCATGTGTCCTGAGTCTTAATTGACCTTGGAAGGCTAGGGCCAAAATGTTGGGTTTCCTTGTATCCCTCCTTTTTCTCTAATTTTGGTCTGCAAACTTAGGTTGTTAACCCAGAAGAGAAACTTATTGTTATTGCCATATAACGTAGGCTGTTGAGCTTAACCTCATTATCTGTCTGAATATCAAACATCTTAGGCATAACATGGAACAGGTACTTTTCATAAAGTATTCATATATTAAACTTTAAGTCCCTACAGAATAGGACAAAAAAATTTAGGAAATTAATATTTAAAAAATAGAAATAAAGAATTCTATGTTTACACATAAGTCCAGAAATCTAACTATATACAACATTGTTGCAGGACAGTCCCGTAACATTCCTTTTCCTGTCTCCTGCCTTCATTCACCACCCTCTTCCTTTTTAAACAATCATCTACCTGAGAGACAGCACGGCAGCAACCGGCGTGTCATGACAAGCAGCCTGTATTCAGAAGACCAGAATGACAGGCACCCCGAGCATGAACCTACTATTACAGATTACCATCTTCAGTGCAGTTGCTTAGTTCACAGGTGTCAGTATATATAGTTAGTCAGGGTGAGAATCCTTTCAATTATCTAATCAGGTTTTAGAGAACTAAGAGTTTTAGTTGAAAAAAAATATTAGCAGACAATTGTAAATTAAATATTTGAAATGTGAAATATAAAGCCTTCTTGTATCACAATGTCTTTTTCTATTATTTAATAACAGAGCTCCACTTTAAATTCCTTAATACTTTGTACTTTTTTTTTTTTTCCATTTTAATGAGAAAAAAAGATCAAGTAGCAATGGAACATTTTCAGAACAGGTTAGGACAGTTACAATAATTAATTCATTGCATATTGTTACTTTGTACTTTTGGGTCCAATAAATCAGGAGAAAATTTAAAATAGTAATTCAGTGAACCTAACAGAGAAGCAACAGATAAAACCATCCAAAAAGAATTACAAAAAGGTTTGTAATCTCACATTTGTTCCTTATCCTACCACCTTTAACTTCTCGTTTTTTCTTTTTTTTTTTTTTTTTTTT